TGTCCATTTCCCCACGTGGTGTTATAACACCACTTGCTTATGTGGCATGTGAAACGTTGTTGCACCTTGTTGCCTACACCCAATGCACTTAACGGCACTTTATAAGGTTTTAGTGTCATTATTTCTATTCATTTTATTTGTTCGTTAAGGGAAATAGAAAGACTAGTAATGATTTGGCTGCAAATTATATCTAAGATCATGACGTTTAACCGGTAGAAAAATAGAGCTACAAGAGTGTTATATTGATTGGGATAGACGGCGTAATAGCCCAATAAGGTTAAAATGTATTAATGTGTTGTAATTTTTAGCTTCTCGTTACTTTTTTCAATAGAAATTTATACTATTAAAAAAAATCTAGCATGCATAATGCATAAAGAAAAAGAAGCAATTTTGACCTACAATAATTATATAACTTATGCACGCGCTTTGATAAAATCTATAAAATATAATGTGAAAGGTATAGTGAAGAAGCAGCACTTTTCGAAAGGTTTGGGCAAATAAGTTCTGCCTTGGAACGTACCCAAGAATATTAGCACGTTACTCTACCTAAAAGCATAACTCCGAAAGAATACATTTCTATTTCAAGGTTAACCTTTTCTTCATCTACAAACATTCCATTACACAATTCCCATGTGGTCATAATATAAATTAGTCTATTTTTTCGATGGTAACATTCACCAAAATCTGTCGCCATGGCATTCCCAAGTTTTGCGTTTTTTTCTCTCATTTACTTACCCTTATTCATCCTTGTATCCTCTCAAACCTTATCCCATGAAGAACAAACCATGGAGAATCCATTGATTCTTCAAGCTTGTAGCAATATAAAAGATGAAAGAACATGTCTAACCAATGTGAAATCGTTTCTTAATGAAGATCGTCCAAAAAACCACAAGCCTGACTCCATCATAACAGCCGCCCTAAAGGCGACGATGAAAGAGACACACATTGCCATGCAGAGCTTCACCAAGTTCACGTCGTTATCATCAAGTTCACGCGAGCAAATGGCGATTGAGGACTGCAAGGAACTACTTGACTTCTCGGTTTCTGAACTTGCATGGTCGTTAACCGAGATGAAGGAGATCCGAGCTGGGTCCCAGAACCCTCATTCACAAGGGAACCTAAAATCATGGCTAAGTGCAGCGTTAAGCAATCAAGATACTTGCCTTGAAGGATTTGAAGGCACAGATAGGCACCTTGAGAGCTTTATAAGAGGAAGCTTAACACAAGTCACGCAACTCATTAGTAATGTATTGGCTTTATACACTCAGCTACATACCCTACCTTTCAAACCACCTAGAAATTATGATGATACAACCAATACCTTCTTTCCAAAATGGATGTCAAAGGGCGACAAGAATCTGATGCTGGGAAGTCCACACGGGATGCATGTGGATGTCGTGGTTGCATTGGATGGATCTGGACGATATCGTTCAATCTCTGAAGCAATCAATGATGCTCCCAACTATAGTAACAGGAGATATGTGATATACGCAAAGAGAGGAATTTATAAGGAGAATATTGACATGAAGAAGAAGAAAACCAATATAATGCTGATAGGGGATGGCATTGGTGCCACCGTGGTAACTGGAGATCGAAATTTCATGCAAGGATGGACTACGTTTCGAACGGCCACGGTTGGTAAGAAACTCTGTGACCCAAATTTTTCTTTTTAGTTCCTCATTGTAGATCCAACACGTATATCAATTTTATGCCAACATTTTGACATATTCAAATATCTAAAAGTGTATAAAATTATAATTACATTTTCATGCCTACACCTAGATACATAGATGAATAGGTTAAGGTTCCAGGACTATGACAAATTGCTTAATCGGTGTGGACATATTTCAATTCCTTTATATATATATATATATATATATATATATATATATATATATATATATATATATATATATATATATATATATATATATATATATATATATAATAAAAGAGTAATTATTTTTTCCTATACGATCACCATATTAAGCTTTGTAATTAATCTCATTACACTTATCAATTTATTGATTCTTCATTTTAAATTTCAAATTTCAAAATTTAAAATTTTTATTTTAATTACACTAAATTAATATCATTAAATAAAAATTAAAATAAAGTTTATATACAAATTATAATATATATATATATATATATATATATATATATATATATATATATATATATATATATATATATATATATATATATATATATATGCATGGTTATTATGAACTTTCATTTTCAAATATGGATATATCATTTTTTGGACCCCTGATAATGCATGCAACCACCATATCAATATATATGTGCGGCTCACCTGCTGACCTTACATTCTGCATGTATCTTAAGATTCTGCATGGCATGTTAAGGATTACTCTATTTTAACTTAAACAAGACACACACCTCATGGAAACTTTCTTTTATAATCTCTAACTACATTAATTACTTCTTTCTTTGTTATGTTTGTAAGCGGTCTCTGGTAGGGGCTTTATAGCAAGGGACATCACATTTCGCAACACAGCGGGCCCTCAAAACCACCAGGGTGTTGCGTTGCGCGTGGATTCCGACCAATCTGCATTCTATCGGTGCAGCATGGAAGGCTACCAGGACACCCTCTACGCTCATTCTCTGCGTCAATTCTACCGTGAATGCACCATCTCTGGCACCATAGACTTCATCTTTGGAAACGGCGCAGCAGTCCTCCAAAACTGCAAAATTTACACGAGGGAACCTCTGCCAATGCAAAAGGTGACCATCACAGCTCAAGGCCGCAAGAACCCTAATCAGAATACTGGGTTTTCAATCCAAGATAGTTATGTTTATGCAACAAAACCTACTTATTTGGGAAGGCCATGGAAAGAGTACTCTAGAACTGTGTTCATGAATACCTACATGACTTCAATGGTCCAGCCACGAGGGTGGCTTGAATGGTATGGAAACTTTGCGTTGAGCACATTATGGTACGGCGAGTACAAGAATTATGGTCCTGGGGCATCAATGTCGGGACGTGTTCGGTGGCCTGGCTACCACATGGCTATGGATGCATCAACGGCTAATTATTTCACTGTGCGGAGTTTTATTGACGGGTTATCCTGGTTACCGGGGACTGGAGTAACATTCTCAGCAGGATTATCTAATTAGTTTATCATCACAAGGTGTTAGATCTTGGTCCGCTTCCCATGCCATGGTTATTACATTATTCTACTTGTCGTTATGTTCAAATTCAATTAGATTTACTCATATTTAATAGATACTGAAATTAAATGTATGTGTATTGTGTGTGTATCAAAAAAACAAACATCCATGAATCTTACCTAATACGACACTGTCATACACATATGGTTGATATGGCATTGCCTAATCTTCTTACTAAAGGCCTTTTTTTTGAATGGAGAAAAAAATAGAAGAAACAATTGCCCTACAAAGTTTTCTAGGATTGGTGGATTCAATCCTTATTGTTATTTAGTTGCTTTACAGGGGAACAAAGTCATGAGACGTGAAACAACCTATTTTTTTTAGTCACATTCACTTATTATACCAGGTTTCAACATCATTTTGCCTTTTAAATAACATTTTTTATTTTCCTTTTATTTAATAACACTACAAGAAACGGGACGTATAGGGATGACAAATGTGTCTCTATAGATTTAAAAAGTCGTCCCTATAGCTCTCGTCTCCATTGCGCTGTCACTATAGATCTTTTTGGTTGTCGCTATAAATATCGTCGCAATAGGTATCCTTTAGAGATGGCATGTCGTCTTGTTCTGGTTCGTCGCTATACGATGTTGGTCTCCATATGAAGCTATAGAGACAACATGTCATCTCTATTGGTGTATCTATCAAGAAAACATGTCGTCTCCATAAATAAAGATATAGAGTCAGCTCATCTCACCCGTTAGCAACAGGATGCCGTCGTGGTAGATGCATATGTAGAGACCACATGTCGTCTCTATAGCACTATCTATAGAAACGACATGTCGTCTCTATAGATATACCCATACAGTTGCATTTTTTTCTCTAAAATTTCCCAATTTTCACTTTTCAAAATTACTAAAGCAATAAATTTACAAAATAACTAAAACGGTAAATTTCATTGCAAAATATTTAAATTCGATACAATCTCAAAACACTACATTATTGCAAATATAATTCAAGTATTGTTAATTGAAAAGAAGCATCTATATCTGTTTGTCTTTGTCTTCTTTACTGCGAACATGGAAGGGCAACTTGGTCATTATTGACTACTCTAGTAACAATAGGTATATGTATCCTCTCACCAAATTTGTGGACAGCTACGATTTTACGTAAGTTATGGAAGAAATCAATTACACATGATTCCAGTATGCAATAACAATATTAAAGAGCAATTGTCAAAACTTTACCTGGCTTCCTCTACCCTCTCATAGATCACATATACTTCAAACCTATTTAATACTGTAACAAAATCAACTTTAATTGTAAATAATTTCAATTTATAGAATGATGAATTGAACCAATCGAAAATTTAACATGGATAGAAGACGGAAAAAAAAGAGACATAAAGAAGGAACCTTGATCTTGATACATGGCATCTATTTCATCTTCATCATTCGAAGATGTCCATCTCATTCAGTGCTGAACAGATTGCTTAAGCACCGAATTAAGAAAACAATTGAGTCGTTTTAGAAATGAAGCATTGAATTGTTTTAGTTTTTCCTCATCGAGCCAAATATACATCTATGCAATTATAAAGCGTGTGATATAATATCTTCCATGCCTCTTGTATTGATGGAACTAATTTTCCATTTCTTCTCCTTGAATATGAATCAAGCCATGTCTGTATGAACATTGAACAACAGGCCAAATTTTATTTTCTTTTACCATAATAACAATCTAATTATTTATTTTTTATTGCTATTATTTGTAAAAAAAATGCAAGTACATTGCTATTATGGGTAAAAGAAGTTAATGTTACCTTTACATTGATTTTTTTATGTTGAAATGCCATTTCAGACATAAGATCATAAACTACAGGATTGCTCGATACCTTCCATTGACATTCCAACACCAATCTAAAAGTAAACCACAACATTATAAAAACAAAGATTAGGAATCAAATAAATTATGATTTTGAATATTAATTTTACCATTGTTGAGTTGTTGCTAATACGACCATCAACAGGTCCAGATCCTAGAGAATCTAGAACACTATACATCTCAACATTTCCTATAATATTATGCAGCATGCACCATATATAAGGGGCACCATAGAACTGATCAAAAGTAGTTAATATAGGTTTGACTTCAGCAAAAAGGTCAAGGAAAATCATTTTCCCAATGGGAATTACTAAAGGGGCGTTTTTTTTTTCTAGAGCGAATAACTGTATAGATGAGAGGAGAACAAATGACCATTTTACCCTTAATGGATTAAGCTAATTAAGTAAAAAAGAAACAACCCCAAAAGTATAAAGATTAAAGTATCAACTATAAGCTTACCTTGCTTAAAAACTCATCAAGATCTTCTATTACTATTTTCTTGATTTCTCCACTTCGAATATTTTGGACCTCTTTAGCCATCTCTTTAACAGTATCTTGAAGAAACTTTGAATAATCTAATATTGCATTTAACCTCGTTTTCAATGTTTCCTACGAACAAAATCAAATCAAGATATGATGTTATGAAGTTGATAGATTGATGTTTAGAATATGATATGAAGTTATGAACCAAAACCCGTTCTTTCATTTTGTCTTGAAAGGTAGAAGGTAACATATTAGGGAAAAGTTTCAAGAAATAAGAAGTAAGAACTCCATGAAGGTGACAATAATGAAAACAACAACAGGAACAAGATGAAAGATATATGTTGTTGTTCGTGTTAGTTGTTGTCTCTCTTCTGGAAAGACTCTTTCCACCTACAAGCTTAAGAAGCAATCTTGAACTAATCTTCATAATGTATCTCACAATTAAGAAATCTTAAGGATTTCAACAATAATATCATTGCACATTAGTACAAAAATGTCTACAAGCAGAAAAATGCTTTGATTTACTTGTGAGCAGAAAAATGCTTTGATTTACTTGTGAGCTTTCATGGATAAGTCTTGGGGATAGAACTTCCATGAAAAAGCTTGTAAACAAAAGTAAAGAGCCAATTCATTGCCATAATTACTGTTGTACTAAGGAAAATAATTAGCACAAACAATATCCAAATTGCTTATTTCAATTGTGATTTTCTATTGTATCTGAAAGAACTTATTTTGAATTTGCTATGAAAGACGGAAACACGATCAGGCACTTTTATTTCAATCAAATGGTAAACTCCTATTAAGATGTATTTATTAACTTATCTGCTCTTAGTAGATCTTATTTTGAATTCTCAGAGTGTGTAATTTTGGTATAATCCTTAGTTCGTACTTCTAACATGTCCAACGAAGAAAAATTCAAGGATTATGATGATCATATGATTCGAGACTACATTAAAACATAACAAATTCAAAAACACATAATGAATAATAATGTAACGCCTGTGTTTCTGGGCCTGTCATTAATGATGATATAATAGTCTAGGTTAACCTTTGTAACCCGTTATGAAATAATAGAAGTGTATTATTTGAGTATTATGTGTTTTGTGCTTAATTGCTTCATTATGTGATTTGATTAATTAAGAATAAAAATAAGCGTCAAAATTTAAGTGTAAAATAAACTTGATATCTTTAGATAATGTTGTAGTAGTTGAAACAAGGTTTCCGAAAATATAAAGAATGCCGAAATCCGAGTTATAACGAAGAAGTTATGACCTTCGAAGTTTCGTGACAGAACCGGCAACACTGAATGACGTAAAAAGTGAAATTTACGTTAGAGCCATATTTATCCTTAGTGATCTAAACGAGAATCGAAGATCTCGTTGTTAGTATCGAAGCGATAAAAAGTTAGACGAGAACGGACGTCAAATGAAGAAGTTATGAATTTATAACGAAATTTTCTGTCCCGACCTATTAAAAATAAATAATAAAAATAAAGTCAAAATTAGCCGACAGAGTCTAAACGAAAGTTGTAGAGCGTAGTCTCACCATCACGTGGATATAAAGAACGTCAAAAATGAAGTTCGTATGAAGAAGATATGACTTTTCGAAGTTTATTAAATAATTAATAATTAAATTTAATTATTAAATCCGACATTATCCGAAGAGGAGTCACCGGACTCATCCGAAGTACACCCCGCGTACTTGTGTACGCCCCACGTACCCGAGGTATGTCGACACTCGCACTCGAGTTATTCGGATGACGCATGCGCTTACGTTTCGGAGCAGTACGCCCTGCGTACTGCGAGGCCTCAGCCTCCTATAAATAGGATGCGATGGCAGCCGGCTCTTTTTCTATTTTTCTCCCTTCCCTCTCCCGTTTTGCATCGATTTGCGTGCCAGAAGTACCCCGAAGCCCAGGTAATATTCCCGAGACCCGAAGCAAGTCCCGAGATCCCGAAGATCCCGAGAAGTGCGGTTCCCGAGCCGAAGCTCTGCCCGCGAGAAGTTCGATTTTTGTAGAGATCTTCCAGATCTACTGAGGATTACTACTCCTACGAGCCGTAGTGCTGTTCGATCATCTTTTGATCAAGTGAGTGTATAATACCTTTCATAAACACAATAATAATACAAGAATGGTTTGAGTGTATTAAGTATATTGTTGTTTATATGTGTGAGTGTGTAGTTACTTTCTTCTAACGCATAATTATGAAGTATTTTATACAAAATACGTATTATGTGTATATTTTGTTGTTATGTGTGTGAATGTATATTCACTTTCTTCTATCTTATAGATCTGATTATTTCTCTATGAAATACATGTTATGTGGGTGTGCCTCATCTGTTATGTGGAAAATGTATTGATTGAGCATGCTATACAGGTTTTGAAACTATGTATAAAAATGAATGTTTTATCTACTAATATGGTGGGTAGAACATGGGTAGATAGTTGGTGTGTAATAAACAGATGAGAGGTCTTGATGTTGTTTTGATCCAGTCATCCAGCGGAATTTAGATGACAACCACAGACTTTTCTAGACAGTCCCGTGGAACGCTAGCAGGCTCATAACCTGTAGGTGTTAATGAACTTGGGTGCTCATTCGCTGTATTCCATCCCCCTCATGGTTTCCTTATTTGACTTATATTGCTGAGGAACCCCCGAAGCATGTGTTGTCACCCCCAATGAAATATTCTTAGACTAGGTCCCTTGTGTTAGCTATTTTAGGGACATAAAGTGAGAATCACGGGAATGGGTAATTGGGTTATTGTTGGTTGATGAAAATTAATTTAATTATTTATTGTGGGTTGAAAACCCTATATGCTCACCAGGCTTCCAAGCCTGACCCACTCAGTTTTATTTGTATTATAGGAAGTGGCGCGAGGGCGTAAGATGGATGAACCATCAAGTTGTTTTGTTTACAAGTCTGTATATGTATATATTTGTTGAATGACTTGTAATGTTATCGTTTATGCTTATTGGTCTGTATTGGAACATGACACCCCGAGTTTTGATTATATAATGTAAATACATTTCTTTTATGAAATGCTTTGGTAAACATTGTTTTATCATGTTTTGTTTTTGGGAACAAATTCCGCAACTCTTTCAAATCAAAAGGATTTACTCTGAAATTATTTTAAAAGCATAAATGAAAATCGGTCTTTTCTGGCCGAGATTTTGGGGATGTCACAGTTGGTATCAGAGCATTAGTTTAAGAGAACTAGGAATTTGTAGGATTTCTAGACTTAAACTTAGAATGCTAAGTGAAATTTTGAGAAGTGTGTCTGTTATATTTTAGACACGAGCACTAGTTTATTTTAGGAAAGTTGCCTAAAATGCTTTATGTGCTAAATGTTATATGTTGCCATATATGATATTATTTGTTCGGATCTATGGTCTGTTGCCGACCGGATCTAGAAACTTTATGTGTGTAGGATTCTAAGCATACGTCTACGATATTAGAACTAGCATGTAAATGTTTCGGAGTGATAAGGATGATCTGAATAATCTATCATGAATGAGGATCTAATTTCACCTTATTCGGCGTGTAGATCAAAAATGGTGAGAACAAGAAGTGGAGTTGGAAATGCTGATGAAAACAGGAATCAACCACCAGTGATTGAACAAAGACCTATCGTAGCAGCAGCACCTGAGCCAATAACCATGGTTGGTGTGCAAATGATGATTCAAACAATGTTGGATCGTCAAATGGATGAAACTAGACGGTTGCTTCAACAGAATCGTGAAGAACTGTCAATTCGTGTGGAAGAACCTGAATTAAATGAAGGGCACTCGGAAGGTGGGAACTTCATTGGGTCTGTTGGTCAAGCCAACCCACCGATAGTTAGGCAAAACAACCATGATGGAAGGAATGATGGAATGGGATGCAAGTACAAGGACTTTCTAACATGCAACCATCAACCTTTAATGGAAAGGAGGATCCGAGTGGAGTTATGGATTGGATCTCAGAAATGGAATTGGCCTTCATGACTTGTGGCTGCAGAGGCAAGTTGCAGACCACGTTCGTAAGACGTCAGTTCCGAGGTGGAGCCGTTCGTTGGTGGAACACTCTAGGGAAGACTTTAAGCCCAAATGAGCCACTGCAATTGACATGGGCAGAGTTGTTGGTGCAGTTCAAGCGCAAGTTTTACTCGGCTCAAAATCTATTGGAACTAGAGAACAAGTTTTTGACATTGACGAAAGGTAGCATGTTAGTTGATGAATACACCAATAACTTCACCGATAAGATGGAGTTTGCCTTGCATATCGTTCCAGACGAGCTGACAAAGGTGCACCGGTATGCGAAGGGACTCCCATGGGAGTACGAGGTGCTAGTACGTCAGGCACATACTCTAGAGGCAGCTATCTGGGCTGCCAAGTCTATGGAGAACATGATTAAGTGGAGAACCACTGACAAGGTTGAAGTTGGTGAGAAGAGAAAGTTTGACGGAACATCTGGTTCCGGTAAGAAAGGCAAAATTTCGAAATCTGATTCGAAAAAGTTTGGAGGAAAAAGAGGCGAAGCGAAGTGGTGTGATAAGTGTAGGAAAAAGCACTTTAGGAAGTGTAGTGAGGATGTAACCTGCTACAAGTGTGGAAAAATTAGGCATTTTGCCAATGAGTGTCCGTCCAAAAAAGGATGTGTTTTGGTTGCAATGAAGAGGGGCACATTTTGAAAGACTGTCTGGAGAAGAAGGAGGCAGCTAAGCCCAACATTCCACCAAAGCCGAAGGCGAGAGCATTCGAGATGACACTGGAAGCTACTAAAGATGAAGCTGATGTCGCTTCAGGTACCTTTCTCGTAAACACATTGCCTGCCCAAATTTTATTTGATTCTGGAGCCAACTACTCCTTTGTATCGCATGAATTTGGTAGAAAACTAGCTTTGGCTATTGATAGACTAGATATTGCTTATTAGTCGAAGTTACGAGTGGCAAGTTTGTACCTGTTAGCCATCGTATGAAAAACATCTTAATCGACCTTAATAGGAATAAGTTTCACGAAGAATTATTACCTATCGAACTTAATGGTTTCGACATCGTGTTGGGAATGGATTGGCTTAGTGCCAATGATGCCGAGATATTGTGCACGAAAAAGATAGTTAAAGTAAACCCGCCTGGGAAAGATTCGTTTATGGTGTATGGGGACAAACGCCGATTGAATTCTGGAATCATTTCCCTAATGAAAGCCAGAAAGTGTTTGACCAAGGGATGTACATCATATTTAGCATTCTTGATTGATGCTAAGAAGGAAAAGAAGGTGATGCAGAGTATTCCAGTGGTGTGTGATTATCCGAAGTATTTCCCAAGATCTTCCTGGATTA